GGTCCGCGGTGCGCGGAGTTCCCCCTCCCCGAGGATTTCGGCGTCAGGTATGGGCCAAGTGGCGTGTGTTGGCCAGGTCCTGGGGCCCCTTCGGGTGGCAGCTGGGGTGGCTCGTCCCCAGGCCTGGCGTCCCTCGGTGTTGGCTGCCGGTCGCCCCCGCGGAGGTGGACGGGTGGCTCGGCGACCGGTCAGCAGGCGGCTTCCGTTGATGGGCTCCATCCCGTGCCTCCATCTCTCAGGTTGGGGTTTTCCCCGCGCCCGGGGCCGCGGATGCCTCTTCGCTGGGCCGCTGGTCTTCGTGCCGGTGCCGGGGGGAAAAGGGGCGCGCGAATAACAAAAAAAAACGAGAACTACAACAAAACACGCACTCCTTGCATACGCCCCGACGCGAGGGGTTGGCAGGGCGGAGGAGTGAGGCCGGCGGGCCTAGTGGCCACTCGTAACGAGGCATAAAAATATGCCTTGTTGCAACATATCTTATTTTAATATTTATGGCCAAATATCTCATTTTTTGATTTTTAGAATTTGTTACTACAATATAGTTGTTCTCTCGATAATAAATACATTAATTAATAACGCAAGTGAACACTTTTTATAGTTTTAAGAAAAACAAGCTAGTCGTTAAGATGCTACAAAAGTTATTTTAAAAAACTAACCATCAACTTGGTTGCATTACGGGATGGGACAAATAACCTAACCTAACCTTTGTTGTCATATTGTCACTATGTCTAGTGTCGAATTATTTTATACAGATTGTAGCGAATTTTCAGTGATATTTCTGAATTTTACTTCTATTTCATAATATAGTATGACCCTTCATCAACGAAAAATATACATGATATGACTCACATAAGACACAGTATAAGCAGCTGCAGGTAGGTATAATAGCAGAGGACGGTAATTGCACGAAATTCTAGAAAACTGTTTCCTTTGCGAAAATGTTTTTGAAGCCTTCGTTTTTGAATTATTAACTTAAAGCACAAAGCAGTCGGGTCGCACGAAGGGTGCGCGTTCCGTCGCGAGAGAGTACGTTAGAGAGTGACGGTTAAATCCAATCATGAGAAAGGGCGTTTGAATCGTGATAGTATAACCGTGTAATAGGAAACCGTTATGTCAAAGATGGCTTGCGATAACTGGTGGCTAACGGTAATTAAAGTAGTGTACGATCGATTATTGATTGCGAACATCGCGTCCTGCAATGAAGAAGATTCCTATGAAAGATTTCGCGAATTATTCCTACTATCACCGCAATAAACTAATTTCTTAACTGTATTGAATGGAAACCATATGATATAGCGAATCATTAAAGAAATCACAGATTCACAAAGAGTATGAATAAGTGGCAACGCTTACAGTATTTTTCTCCTTTAACCTTTCCCGACTTTATTTTACAAGACGGTCCTCGTCCGTTTGCAGTTATGAACTCAATTCGCATTCGAAAAACTCTCGCCCCCACGCACACTGACGCATTCTATCTCGGAATCATTCTCTCTTTTTCCAAACCGAATCCCTTTCGCTCTAAACTAATCACTCAACGATACACGTGTATTTCTCAGGCACTCCTCGAACTCGAACACCCAACGCGACACTCGTAACGATCATCTAAATATCCCCTCGCTAACACCACACAGCATTCACTTGGACTCGTTCAGGCAAACAACTCATTTACCCATTTCATTCACATGAAAATTCTTAAACTTAGACTAAATATAAATAACGCAGGGACGTGGCGGCCGCTTATAGACGCTATAAGTAGAATACTGCAGATAAGCACTGCCAATCCATCCGAAGTGAAACAATACATACTCTTTGCAGTATGTTGCTCCGGAGTATTACACAGGTGATTACGCTGATTTACGCCAATTATCTATCATTTTCTTATTAAAATGATGGATAGCATAATGTTTCAAACGATGAAACAATTGTCTGAAAAGTTGTTATTCCATAAACTCTACAGAAATAATGAATGAACGCACACCCTATGATACCTGTTACATGTGTCAAATTTCTCATACTAAAAAATATCGTTTTTATCGTTCAAAAGCGAGATATAGGATGACTTAATGGAATACAGAGAAAATAATACACGAGTATTATTACAGCTACTAGAACCCTAACGTATTACTTTTTAATTGAACAAGGGGTATACACCTGCTTGCGTTCGACCACGCGTCATTTTATAGTAGTAATAGGTTGATGTAACATCGGTCTCCAAGTACAAATTTATTCGTGCCTGGAACTAGGGATTTTCAAATATGTGATTATTAACGCGGTTAGAGAGAACAACGCGTAGATATCAGTGTTCATTTCTTCGATTGTTTAACAATTATTAAAGTGAAAGGGAAACGCACAGCAATTCGTGGCACGTCTGTAAGACGTCGTGACGTTGTATGAATAGATAGTCTCAGTGTTTGCATAGTCGAAGTCGATTATGTTTAAGAATGCAACGCCGGAAAAAGCGATCGCATTCTTGCGATTTAGCGTGGCAACAGCATTCTTTCTACCACTCCCCTCCCAAGCAGGCAGATTAAAGACTACATGTTACAATATTCTCAAATTTCTAGCATTTCTTAATTCGTTCCTATCTCTTTATCCTGTAATAAACGCTTTACAAACATCCACTGATCCCATGGATGTATCAGAGTCTGCCGTGTTTTTAATGGGATTATTTCTGGCAATTTCACACATAGCCATTAGCATAGCTCATTCAAATAACATACGGGTAAGACATTTTTCTTAAATAATTACTAGGCTATAAAATATAGAACGTAAAATATAATACAATGCGTTGCATAAATGTGCTAACATCCTTTGATGTTATTAATGTGAGTTTTCAGTTGAAAATTACTTCAGCGGACAACTGCCAATATTACTTTAATTCACAGCATTTGAACAACAAATTATATGTATAAAAAGAATTTAGTGTATTAACGTAAATATTCAGTTCATTTGCATAAAAACTAATTTTCAGACGATCTAGAAACATACGAAGCGTTTTACGCGCAATAGTATGCGATTTAATAATTTGTTGATAAAATTTTTTTCAATGCTTTCCTCTATATTCTTTCATGTGTCAGCTATTACAAGTTTTAATTCATCTACAGTTAAACATGTACAATTACAATTATTTGGTAAAAATCGTTTATACCGGTATTTCGACGAATATTCTATGGGATTAACGTCAAGGATACGTGTAGACCAATCTAATATCGGAATATTATTGTCGGTAAATGTATGTGCAGATTTATGAAATGATGCATTATTGTGCATGAAAATTAAATTTCCATTCTGTTGTTCTATCGTCCAATAGAGCTTTAATTAATTTTAAAATGTATTCGCATAATTATTACTGTCTATTTTGTGGAGAACACATACTATGGAGAATTTTACATAAATCGGGAAACATGGTCAAATCATAACCGAGTTACCACGGAATTTGCGTTCCACGAAATATTTTACATCTTTTCGTATAGCGTGCCAATATAAATTAAAAACATCTGGTCCATTTATACATGATTAATTTTGTAACGTGACTAATTGTAAGTATAAAAATAAGCTGTAACTACAAAATATTCGTTTCTTATAGAATAAACATTTTTCTGACATTTTTCATAACACAAATAGATTGCTTTAATATTATACATGAAAGTCTCGATTTATTGGAAGTATGATTTATCTTTTTTAAGTTATCCTTTTTTAAAGCGTTTTTTCTCTAACAATGTGCGAAGATGGCACAATAATTCTGTAGATACTTGTTTTTGCAACATATAAGTTGGATTCATCTCGCAATTGAATGACATTGTCGAGTTCAGAGCTAATCGTACAATTGTAAGTTTATCTCAAGAAGACAGTTTTGAAGAGTGATCTGAACACTTCTTTTCTTCATAATCATATTTTTTAACATTGTAATCGATAATAGCACTGCTTCAACGACCTATGCCACTCGCAATATAGTTGTAACCTCGGCCTTCAATGCGTAAAGCATCGATCATGTCTTTTTTTCACCTAGAAAGTCCTTTTGTACAAGGATCCCCACTTTCTAACCTCTATAAACAAATTTTACTTCGTTCTACTATGAACAAGTTTTTATTTGACTTTATTTGTTCATGACTGATTACTAGATTTTATATAATGCAGCTTAAAATTTACATTAATTTTCTTTTGCCGAATTTATCCTTTGCAAACTATGAATTATTATTTTGAAATAATAATCCTAATTTCCTACTAAAAGCTCATATCATTGTAAGTATTAGGAGTTGGTATATTTATGCAACGTATTGTATGTGTGGAATATAACAAGTATAGTTGTTCACTATAGGCTTAATCATTAATTAAAATGATTTTTGATACACGGCGCAGATTGTGATGGAACTTACGGAAGATGTTTGTAAAAACGCGAATGATCATGGAAGACATGTGTTTCAACGATATATGGAACAATTTTCTACGTTTTATGGAGCATCAATTATATGGAGTTACGTAACGGGAGTGATATTTATTTTGAAGACATTCGTCACATCCGATCCTTTTCCATTGAACGCTATATATCCGTTTCGTGTTGATTATCAACCATTGAAAAGCATCATATTCTTGCATCAAACATTATACGTCTGTAACGTTAGCGGCAACGCGTCAGTTAATGTGTTTTGTGGTTTTCTGTTGTTCTTCGCTGCAGCTCGTTTCGAGATATTGAAACTTAAACTACGCAATGTTAAAACCGCCGAGGAGTTGATAATACGCATGGAAGAGTATTATGTTGTGAAAGAGTATAGAGAAATTATGCGATTCAGTATTTATTATTTGCAGTCAAATCATCTGCTTTTATTTTAGGTACGCGAATTTTGTGGTCAACATTGTGAAATGTGTAGCTCCATGTGCGGTAATCATGGCTGTTATAGTACTAGTGATGTGTGGCATAAATTTAATACAAGTAAGTAGTATTAATAGCAATGTCAAAATCGATGGGGTTTAATCATTTGGGATGATTTGCTTTCACACACAGCCATAACCACTTACTGTGAAGTTTCAATACATATCATTGGTTGCAACTGTAACACTAACGGTTTTTGTCTCTGCCTGGCCTGCTGATAATCTTTTAGATCAGGTAAGTTATTATTTTATATACTAGACTGCGCAAGTCGCGTTGATGTATAACAGAAACTGTGTGATAAAATCGTTGTAGACTGCTTGTCAATACAGACTGTGTAAGAATAGATATTTATAGAGTTTACTAGTATCCTGTCGTACTTACTATTAGAAGTAACGCGAGCTTGTTATTACTAGAGCGGCGATGCCATGAAAAATGTATTCCAATCGACCTGGTACAATCAATCTAAAAAAATGCAGCGGAACATCCTGATCATGATGGTGCCACAGACCCCTGTAGCCGTTCGAGTCCCTTGCATTATCTCAACTCTCTCATTAAATTTCTTTTGCTCGGTATGCAACATCATTATGTAGTAAATAAGTATTATTGGCAAGGTTTCTAATGATTTCGAATGCTTTTAGTTCCTCTCAAACGCGTTTTCTTCATTCTCCGTTTTACGTGCTATAATATCCGAAGATGAAAGCACATGAAAAGAAGCGAATGGAATAATACTGAATTATATTGTTTTACATATTTGTAGTATTTTTTGATAAATCTGTAGTTAGAACATGTATGTAAGACAAAACTATATTTATGAACCTATTAATAAATGTATTAATCGCTGCATCTCCGTCGATGCAATTTATATACCGTTATTTAACGTGGAAGATACTATGCATAAGACCAAGACCTTCTCTAACAAGGGAAGGCATGGAAGTGTTCCGTTCCAATTTTGATGAAACTTCGTATGTTCCTTAAGCAGACAAAAATAAGAAACACTTATGATTCTTTATCCGCTGAGATATGGGTTTAGGGGGTATATACAGGGTGTCTCACAATTCGTGTAGGTCCCTGAAATGGGGGGTAGCTGACGTGATTCTAAGCAAGATTTCCCTTTGCAAAAATCAGGTTTGAAGCGTCGTTTTTGAGTTATTAACGAAAAACACGGACCAATAAGAGCGCCGGGATTACGCGCGCCGAGAAGCGGGAGCGCCAGCTTCGAGTCCAGCGGCTGAACGTGAACGTGATCAAGCATCTTTGCCTCGGAACAGTCAAAACTTCTAATAAGAAGACTTTTTCATAAAAACTCAGTTAAATAACGAAGAGAACAATTACAAGTAATGTTCATTTATTCATTCTTCGTAAATACATGATAAGTAAACTTGAATCAGACTCACCTATTTTTTAAAAATAATCCTGTTCCAGTAAAACTGTGTTCTCGTGACTTCATCGATCCTGATCTTTCATAAAAAAACACACTGCACAATATCTGATGTTACAGCTTGGTCAGTAAACTCATTTCACTTCACTGTCTCTTCTAACTGTTATTTTTAACTGTGTAGAGTTGATTAAAGAAAGGTGTTTATTTTAATTAAACAGAGTATAAAAAAATGAGTGCGCGTGTTTCCACGAGCAAAGTGAGTTCGGCACGTAAATTATCGCAGCGCAATCCAGGTTTTATAAAAAATGGTGACGTTTTCCGAAATCGAGAATTCCCGCTTTCCCCTGCCGGCAGTCATCCGGCCCATACTATTGACCGGCGACCCATCCGGCACTTGACCTACAAAATTACCGTGATATTAATAAATCCAAGGATCGCCTCGATTTTTCAAACTACATAGAACCGAAAAAAAACAACTACGCCAACCTCGGGCTGAATGTGCATGCCAACTGGTACATACGGACAAGTAATGGTTCCTTGGTCATTTATTGCTGCTATAGTAAACCTTCAATACCCTAAAATGTTCAAAAATCTATAATTATATCTACAACAGAAATTTCATTTGATAGACTTCTGTTAATTACACATAATTAATTCTGTTCCTTACTCATTACAAGTGAAAAAGTGAACATTATTTGTAACTGCTCTGTTCATTATTTAACTGAGCTTTGACGGAAGGACTTCTTATTAAACGTTTTCCCTGTCATGACGCGTAGGCAGTTGATCATGATCGTGCTCAGCTGCAAGGCTTGAACGCTTTGATTGATCCACGTTTTTGCTTAATAATTCAAAAACCAAACTTCAAACCCTATTTTTGCAAAGGGAAATCTTATTTAGAATTACGTCAGCTACCCCCCATTTTAGGAACCTATACTTATTGTGAGACACCCTGTATAAACGTAAACAGGATATGTTTTTTTTGAGAATGTTTCTTAGTTTCAATTATTATTTTTAGAGATGTACCTAAGAAAAAAGAATTACATGTAATGACTATCGTTGTTCGAAGTAGTGGAAACTAGTTGTAATTTATATTGATTACATAGCGAAGTAAATAAAATTAAAAACTAATTCCGCCAAAATGTGGACGATGGTACGTATTCGGAATATCGTTAGTGTTAACGTTAAGTATACATGTACTGCAACAAGTATTATAAAACTACAGGCACAAATCAAGTAGACAATTATAATAATTTGCGAAAGTACCAGAATCGCGTATTTGTAATATTTAATCCTTTGACTACTGTTGGCGCCTATTGGCGTTTGACACATGTTTTCCTGGTACTGTAGATACCAATAGGCGTCTACCGTACGGTACAGCTAATGCATGACAAAATCTGCCGTAGTCGATTTTAAAAATATTTATGATTCAATCTGGTAGTTATAGAAAGATGATCGAAAATTTCTTCCCATGCAAAAATGCAAGTTTTATTCGTCGAATTAGTGATTGCCGAACTCTTTTAAATGTTCCAACTGTCTTGAAAATTGTATAAATGCACTTTAAACGCATTCATAAAGTAATTGTTTGTATAAAAAATACCTGTCATTGAGAATTACACGAATTTTGCCCGCAAATTTATGAATGTTTATATTTTTTCAATAAAACATTTGTAGATATAAGTTTACTTGAAATTTCTTCATTTAATTGACTACAGTAATACGTAATGGAAGTTTGAAGTTAACCATTTTGGACACTCTGTATATTAACATTTAATATAATTGCAAAAGATATACAGCAGGACAGATTTCTGAAATTGGACGGTCAAAACTTAATTACGGAAAATATCATAAAATTCTAATGCTATTTGCGTTGAACGAGCTTGGAGGTGAAGATAACACTCGGAAATTATACTCATGGGTTTGTTTCCCGCAATACTCCCTTAGGAATACTTTTTCACCTACTCTACTTGTACAATTTGTATAAAACGAAAGCACAATGAAAACGGAAAGATCAACATTTGTTATTAACCACAATAAACGTGTTAGATATTTTTCAAAAGAGAACCGTTCCCAATTAAGGTTCTCAGGTAAGTACCGAAAGGTTAAACTAAGTCCTCTTACCAAAGGTATCCTTGCCTCCCCACTCCGTGGCCAAATCCTCAAGGAACAACGTCCCTATTCGACTAAGCAATGCAATAACAAACTATCTATCCTTTTCTACAATCTCAGAAACTAACAAAGCACACAGTCTTGCGACATCTGATGACCATACGACTCCAAGTCCATAGCCATCGTCTATCGCCTCACTTGGACTCTCATAAACAATCTTTCACTTAGACCTCACGCAGTCTAACCCTATCATAAATCGTTCAAAGGCAAAATAGCACAGGCTAATTGCCCTCTGTCACGTCCTCAATAAAGAACACTTTTTTTTTAAAAGAAATGATTTGCCGTTGATGGTTCGTCAACGACAAATACCACTTTTATTTATTCACAATTATACAAATAATTTTGGGTAAACACTCCTAAACACAAATACTTAAGTACCACTGGTTAGTAAACAATCGGTGAACAGTTCGTTTCGCGTATATTATTAGTAGTCGCGCCGCTGCGCGTTTTCTCTATATATATTCCTAATATGCTGATTCCCCGCGTTTGAGGAATCCGCATTATCAGGGTCTGTGACACCTCGACGACTCTCCAAAATACGTTGACGCTAACAAACGTTATACTTTATTTCATTTTAATATTAAACGATTTGAATGAACCATAAGTGAAAATAATCTTTGCCCTTAATTTGAATTACTTACTTTGTTGCATAATTGATAAAAATTAGAAGTTAACAAAAATTAAGCATGATAATTATCATTTAATATGATTTTAAGAAGATTTTACAAGAAAAAAATGCTTTCACAAATATGAATTAGGAGCTGTCAAATGAGCCTAGATTATATGTATAGATACGGATAACATTTAATTTTAAAATACATTTTGTCTAATCATCTGCACTTTAGAATAATTGGTAACAATATTTCATATGCGTTTGCTTGATTGCAATATTTCGCTTTCACTTTAGATCCTTTTTGGACTTTTATTATTGATAAAAGTTGTTGCGATTTTTAATTATTGTGGACGAAATACAGCTTTGTGTAAAGCGTCTTGAATGTCCATCGTCCAAATCGACAACTATAACAATATCTATAACACATCTATAACACATTTTTTATTTATTCTTTTCAACAAAAGTTTTACATTATCTAGAACAGTATAATATAATACAATTACACGGTATCTACAGAATTACACGGTATGAAATAGTGAAAGCTTGATAAAATATACTACTTAAATAACGCTCCAAATACTAGAAAAAAACAATGCACATGATTTCATAAATTTAAATCATACCCATGATATGAAAAATATATAAAACAACATATTAATAAAGTATCATAACAAAAATGTTGCAAAATTATCAACCATAATATACAGAAATATCCATAAGTAAAAGGGAATAAGTATTCATTTTAAATGAAATAGTGTTTCTGAAGAATATTTTAAATTGTGATCAAAACATTGTTAGAATAAAAATTTGTATAATTTTATCACATGTTGCTCCACTTACTTAAATAACTAAATCCGAATTACTCTAAAATTAAATATTAATATTAAATATTAAATATTAATATTGCTAAAATTAATCAATATTGAATCTTTTAATAGATCACGTAAATGCTTAATGCGCTGTGATTCTTTAATCTTTCAATGAATTTTCTGCACGTGTTAATTACTGAATTTGATGAAATTTATACAATACATAGTTATCAAAAAAGTTTTTTACTCGTATTCTTTTTATCCAGCA